CTCTCTTTGTATTTTTCCTTCTTAAATGCAGATTGATTTTATTTATTTGTTTAGATGTCAGAATTAATTATATTAAAAATTTAAAACCCTTATAAATCTCAGCAATTAAACCAACATGACACCAGCACAAAAATAATCAAGTAGATCAATGAAATATAATGAACATTCTAGAAACAAACATATATATCTGTCTAATAATGTAATATGTGCTTAAATTGATGTTGCAAATAAAGGGGTAAAATAAGGCTGGTTCAACAAATAAGGTACATGGACCACTATTACTTGAAATAAAACAAATAGCCCTATTTCACACATTATACAAGAAATATTCAGGGGAGTTAAAAATCAATATGTAGAATCTAAGGAGTTTTCGGAGAAAATACAAATCAATATTTTTCATGACCTGAGGTAAAATATTCAAACCCAGAAGCTATAAAGTAAATATTCACAATATGAATATATAAACATTCAACTATATAGTAATGTACATATAAAAAAAGTTAAAGGACCAGTAATAGAAAAGTATTTGCAACACATCTAAAACATGGTTAATAGTTGTTTTTAAAAAGTTCTACAAACTTTTAATAAAAAAAATTGATAAAGAATACCAAAAAGTCATTTAAAGCTTTGTTTAAAAATAATAGAAATAGGCAAGAAATTTACTAAAACTGGGTTAGTTTCAACAAATAATAAAGGGACAATTAAAATAACATCATTGTCACAATCAGATTAATGATATTAAAAATATTGGTAATATCAGGTATTGGCTACTCTGAAAGGAACTGGGTATTCATAGAAACTTTTTCTTCATGTTAAAGCAGTCCCTTTAGCATATTTTGCAGTGCTGGTTTGGTGGAGGTGTATTCTTTTAGCCGTCCTTTGTCTGGGAAACTCCTTATTTTGCTTTCCATTTTAATTGAGAGACTTGCTGGGTAGAGCAGTCTTGGTTGCAGGCCATTGCTTTTCATGACTTGGAATATTGCTTGCCATTCCCTTCTGGCTTGTAGTGTTTCTGTTGAGAAGTCAGCTGCTAGCTGTATCGGGTCTCCCTTATATGTTACTACCTCTTCTCCCTTGCTGCCTTTAGGATTCTCTGTTTGTCTTTGATATTTGCCATTTTCATGATGATGTGTCTTGGAGTGGGCCTCATTGGGTTCCTCTTGAATGGGACCCTCTGTGCTTCCTGGACTTGCGTGACTTTTTCTCGCCTCAAACTAGGGAAGTTTTCCATCATGACTTTTTCAAAGAGGTTCTCTATCCCTTCCTCATCTTCTTCTCCTTCTGGTATCCCTCTTATAAGGATATTATTGCATTTCAGGTTATTCTGCATTTCCCTAAATGCCTCTTCATTCTTTTGGAGCCGTTTTTCCATTTGTTGTTCTTTCTGGGAACTTCTTTCTACCTTGACCTCCATCTCACTGATTCGATTCTCGGCTTCATTCAGCCTGCTGTGGTTCCTTCTACTGTGTTCTTCAATTCAGAAATGGTATTCTTCATATCCTCTTGTGTCTTCTTGATAGTTTCTATGTCCTTTTCCAGGCTGATATAGTTTGCTGTAAGATTCTGATAGTTTCTCAGCAGTTTCTCATAGTTATCTTTGAGCTGGCTGAGCTCATTGAGCTTCCTTAGAACCACTGTTTTGAATTCAGTATCTGATAGTTCCCTTGCCTCTATCTCATTTAGCTCTCTCTGTGGGGAGTCCCCTTTTCCACTCATTTGGCGGGAACTTCTTTTTCTTCCCATTTTTGTGTGAGTCTGTTAAGTATTTTTGTCCTTTTCTTTCTGGGCTTGCCTCTGATGATGTCAGTTGTTGACCCTATAGGGCCTTGGGTTGTTTTTTTGAGCCTTCCAGGAGTCTAATGGCTGTGTCTGACTCCTGCTTCGAGCAGCTCTGTGACCCCTTCGGTCAGGGCTGGGCTATATTTTGGGATCTCTCTACCCTCTCACGCGGGCTCCTTGAGCACGCTCCCAGCTCGGCAGGATCCCCCGCCTGCCTGGGCTCGCAAGTGCTTGCCCCAGACCAGGGGACTTATTTGCGACCTCACGTACTCATTTGGCCCCCCTGGCTGGCGAGCTCTGTGGCACTGGTCAGTTTAGGGTCTTCTATTGTGTATTTTCCCCGCTTTTGGCTCTTTGGGTGCATTGCTTGCCCTTGCCAAATGGGGACTACGGAAATGGGAGGAAGTCAGCTCAAGGACTCTCCGGTTAATCCTGTCTCTGGTCTCTTCTCCAGGGACTCTGGGCAGCTCTACTAATTTTTTGGGCTGCTCCGCAATAGCTGGCGGGCAGGTCAATTTATGCCTGCCCTTGCCGCTCTGTGCACTCCCTCGCAGGCCGTATCGGTGCCAGTCTGTGGGAGGCCTTGCCGGCCGGTGCAAGCGTTCGCCAGCCCGCGTGGGTCACACACAGTCGCCAACCCTCGCAGATCACTTGACACAAGTGTGGGATTCCTTTATGCCCTCAAATCAGGAGAAAAGTTGTCTGCAGAATTGGAAATGGAATCCAATGACACAACAGAATCTGATTTTGAATCCACTGAATTCTCAGAATGAGAAGTGGAAGCAATTATAATTTTTGAGATGTTTTATCATCTCTTCTGATGATCTTCAAATGTCAATGGCTCTTAACACATTAACTGGACAGGGAATCCACGCTGGGCAGCCTTGCTGCCGCTGGATGGGTGTCAAGACTCTCGCAGCTCGAGCTCTTCTCCATGGCGCGGCGCGGAGAGCGCGATGGAAAGGCTGAAGCGACCTCCACGGCAGCCAGGCGGGAGGAGCAGAGGGAGGAGTCCATATTGATTTTTAACTCACCTGAATATTTCTTGTATAATGTGTGAAATAGGGTTTTCTATTTGTTTTATTTCAAGTAATAGTGGTCCATGTGCCTTATTTGTTGAATCAGCCTTATTTTACCCCTTGATTTGCAACATCAATTTAAGCATATATTACATTATTAGACAGATATATATGTTTGTTTCTAGAATGTTCATTATATTTCATTGATCTACTTGATTATTTCTGTGCTAGTGTCATGTTGTTTTAATTTCTGAGACTTCGTAATGGTTTTAAATTTTTTAATATTTTATAATTGACTTTGACATTTAAAAAAGTAAATAAATAAACTCTGCATTTAAGATGAAAGGAAGAAAGGAAGGAAGGAAGAAAGAAAGAAGCAAAGGTGTAACTCCTTCCTTTTGTGATAACATGGATGAAACTGGAGAATATTATGCTAAGTGAAATAAGCCAGTTGGTGAAAGACAAATATCATATGATCTCACCTATAAGTGGACTCTATTCAACAAAATAAATAATGAACAAAATAAACCACAGGCATGGAAACATGGAGCAGACTGAAAGTGACCAGAGAGGATGGGGAAAGAGGACAATGGTGGAAAGAAGGAGTAGGGACTAGATTAAGAACATATATGAATGACCCATGCACATGAACAGATAGGAATTGACTTTGGGAGTAGGGATTGGGGGTGGGATGTGTGGACGGGGGTAAAGGGGGAAAAATTGAGACAACTGTAATAGAATAAACATGATTTAAAAGTTTTTAAAAAAAGTGGAGTTGACCTATTGAATCTCAGCTTTAATTTATTTCAGGAAAGTACAGTTGACTCTTGAACAACACAGGTTTGAGCTGCATGGGTCCACTTGTACTCTTTTTTTTCCCCCGATAAATATATGCAATATGTAAAAAAAAAAAAAAAAAGTATTCCAATTCCGTTATGAACAGTTGGTACTTTCCATACATACTTATTCCTTTTGTCTCTACTTTATTGATTATTATCTCCTGGAAATTACATCAATGCATGGTGATATTATCCATAAAGATTGATATAAATGGTTTGGCAATTTAGTCATTCAGTTTTATCTGTGATTTGCCCTTTTTTTTCAGTATGTAATTAGTAAGACAATTATTTTGGGCTGAGAGGTTACTTTAATCACTCAGTTATTTTGGAGATAGGTATTCTTACCATTTCCACCTTGGAATGAGCAAACAGACTTGGAGACTTTAAGTAACTCACCCAAGGTTGCACAGCTTGTCAAAGCGCAATCTGGAATGCCCACCCAGGTACATGTGCCCCAGAAACCAGGTTCTTTCCATGATGCTGTACTTCTTCAATTCTGTAAAGCTAGGTGTCTGGTATAAAAGTAACATGACATTGTTTATGGAAATTCAGACCTGGTATATGAAACCCAATGAACCCTTCCCACCTATTCCGCCTTCTAAATTTGTAATTAGTAGGACAAAAGTTGGGTTGGAGTAAGATTGAAATTCAACACAGATTTGAGTCCATTGAGTCTGTTTCTGTCTGCAGTGTATGCAGTGCCCTCTTTGTTTCTCCATTTCCCTAAAATAAACACATAGGGGCATGTGAGTGTAGAATCATGCACACATATCCAAATACCTGTTTCTCATTAACAAGGATTCATGAGTGCTTTCTAAGTGCTAAGCATTGTGCTGGACTTTAGTGATGTAGTATTCAAAAAGTAGACTTAGTTCCTAACTTCTGAAACTTATGTTACAAAGCAAGAGGATGGATGAGAGAAAAACAAAATGAAACTGGGTCTCTCTCTCCCTCCCCCTGCCCCACACACACAGGAGCAGAACTGTCAAACATATCGCTGTATTACAGACTATCTATTCATAGAATAGCAGATTTTCCACAAATACTGTTGTCTTCAACTTTATTCTTGGAGACAAGATTTAGTAGACCAGGCCTAAAATACACCCAGCCCTCTCGTATCAGAAAATTGCATTGCTAGGGATTTCTTCTTGATGCTGAAATTCATTACCTAGAAATTTTATTGATTGTACTTGGCTGAAAGTTTCAAGAAGAATTGGTGACTACATTAAGAGACATGTGCCATTTCTAAAAATTCTGTGTGCCAGAAGATTTTTTAAAAAATCTTCATAAGACAAGTATGCTTTTATTTGAAAGTATTAGCTGACCCTGTCTTATTCTGTTTTCCAGAAAAGCTTTTAGAATCCTAAACATGCATTGTGGACAACTATTCCTGACACTTTTGGTACTTATGTTTACAAGCACCTTGGGTAAGTAATAGTTATTCACAAACATATGTCATTGGTAATCTAGAGGAAATATCAAGGTTTTGCTTTTTTTTTATGTGGAGGTGGCTATTGAAGAAGCTGAATTCATTGAAATTAGTGAATTTAAATTAGAAGGTTGCCAAATTTTTGGTGTCTGACAAAGAGAAAAAAGTTAATAGGAATGGGATTAAATAAAGAATCATATGGGTTTACTGAAAAGGAAAAGATTTGGCACTCTGAATTTATGTAGAGAAAGCAGGATATAAAAATTTACATCCTGAAATAAATTACATTTGTCTGAGATGAAAGTCTGCTTTATGTTGTTTAAAACCAAATAGGTCACAGCTGTCTTTATTAGTGACTTTTAGAAAATTTTACACAAGTTATCTCCTTCCCAAAATGAAGACAAAGATTCATTTCATAGTTTAGGGAATGCAGGGCAGGATGTAAGTGGGAATACCTTATAGATCTTAAGGAAAATGTTAGAGTTAGAGCAACTATATATGAGAAATACTTCTTTGGCTATGGAAGACAAAAAGGTTTTATAGCAAGTGTCGAATACCAATTTTAATTTTTTAGCAGTGACTGCTTGATGACTTTTATTGAGAAATATTCTGAGGCCTCTTAAGGATTCTTTGGAGAAGAATCCATTATCAAACTATTCTGTAGAGAAGAGTTCAATGGTGGATTAGTAAGGTGTTTTTCTGGATTTTGAAGAGAAAGTAGGAGCACAATTATTTATTTTCCTCGATCTATTATCAAGGAGACGGAAACACATGAATCCATATCCTCTACTTTGACAATGGCTGTTGAAGAAAGGGTGGAGTGAAGTTACTGATATTTTCAAATATTAATACAGGTTCTATTTGGGGATATATTTACTTAAATGGGTCTGTGTATTGTTGAGATGCACACAATGCAATACTACCTAGTTATTAAAGGAAGGAGGTAGATCCTCACTTCTTGATATGGAATGATCTGTCAGAAACTGCTGAGCGCAAAAGCAAGGTGAAGGACAGTGTGCATCATGGGTCTTCCACTCTGTAGACATACACTAATAACCTTGCTCCAAGGTTACAATAAAAACATGTTTCAGGCTCAGAAATAGCCACGCAATCTATTTCATTAGGTTGCTAAGGTCCTACCTCTCTGTTCTTTAGTTGTTTGAAGAGCACCTTCTGTGGAGGGTTTATTCTAGGACTGGGGTCCCCAGCCTCTGGGCCATAGACCAGTACTGGCCTGGCCTGTTAGGAACTGGGCTGCACAGCAGGAGTTGAGCTTGAATGTAATATGCTTGAATAATCCTGAAATCATTTCTACATCTCAGGTCTGTGGAAAAATTGTCTTTCATGAAACCTGTCCCTTGTGTCAAAAAAGTTGGTGACTGCTGCTCTAGGAAGTCATGACAATATCCTACATGTAGGATTCATTTAACTGAGTTAAAGCTAGATGACAACATCCCATTATGTCCAAACTCAAGACAATTTGTGAAAATGTCTTTTCTATAGATTCCATATACCTTGAACTCAACTTATTTCTCCAGTAAAAACCACTTTTTAGTCAACACAGGCTGTACTGTTAAACCTGAGTTGATATCTGCAGCCATTAGCTGCCTGGGGAACAGGAATATTCAACTGACAATCATCCTCCCCTGGAGAGTATGTATTCCTGGTTAAGTTTCTTCAAATGATAACTACCTCCAAAGAGAAACTAGTCACATATATGTCTATCAAAAACATAGGACAGATGTTTATAGAAGCTTTTTAAAGATGGGCCAAACTCTGGAAATAACCCAAATGTTCAGCATCAATAGAATGGGTAAATAGTCAAATGCCAACACAACTGAATACTACAGTATATAACTATGAAAAAAAGAACAAATCATTGCTGCACCCAGCCACATTGATGCCTATCATAGACATAATGATATATGAAAGAATCCAGAGAATGTATTCTATGATGTTTATTTTTTTATATACACATATGTATCTCTAAAACAGAAAAAATTAAACTGTAAATAGTTTGCCATCCTTTTGGGTGTCAGTTAAACTAACACCCACATTTACACGTATACTACACTTTCTATATTGAAGTACTGAAATGTAAAATAGAAATTCTATAACAAGCACCACACACAAGGTTCATCCTCCTGTGCTTTGAGTATAATAGCTTTAACATCCATGTTTTAGAAAGAATGCTTCTACCATTTGAGCCACTTCCTCTTTACATTGTGGTTAACAACATTGAGCTAAAACTTGACTGTTTTTTTCCGAAATAAACCCTAACTATAGAAAAGGTATTTTTTCCCCATATTCTGAGGGAAATGCTCTACTCAGTTTAAGGATTATCATTCTCAAAATGAGGTTAAAAGGCATCCTAGAGCCACCCAAGGACAGAATATAGGAAAGGTCCATGTGTTTATGCTGACTTTGAACTATCAGAAATACAAAAGGAGGGGAATGGTGACCCTGTGTAACTGAAGGGATCCAATAAATTCTCAAGTCCAGAATTACTGGGTTAGTTGAGAGAGAGAGAGAGAGAGAGAGAGAGAGAGAGAGAGAGAGAGAGAGAGAAATGTGAACTCAAAGAGGGGGAGTGACTGATACCCAGGTTTGGAGTGATATGAATCAATTCTTGATTAGCCACATGATAGACTAGAGAGATAATGAATTTGCATGCATTCTAAGCTACGCAGAAACATCTTTAATCACCTCCACACCTACCTGGAGAATGGGTGACTAGGTAGACTGAGTGAAAGATAGGTAAGACTTCTGAGGATGCAAATGAAAAACTCTGAAATCTTTAGGTTTCTTGTTTTCTTTTCCATGGAGACTTCTCTGCTAGGGATGTTTTTGGAAAGGCATGGCAACACTGTGACTTTTGCAGCTTCCCTTATAAGGAGGTTGCCATGTGTAACATTTTATTTTAAAAGATTACATTATATTTATCTCTCTTCTAACTATGGTAGATTAAGAGTTAAGGAGAAGCTATTGGAAGCTTTATTCTCATTTATTTTCTGAAAGTGCTGTAGTGTTGGAAAATTACCTGTCACACTGTGTTTGATTTTTTTCTTTTATTTTTCTAATCTTTTAAGAAACCTGTACTCTACGTCCTCATATTACTGCTGTTGAAGGGGAACCTTTCTATTTGAAATATTGCTTATCTTCACCTGAGCATGAGAATGAACCAACCACCATGAAATGGTACAAAAGCAATGAATCACATGGACGTGTTGAGCTAAGCTCAAGCAGTTCACCCAGAATTACTTTGCATGATTATGTTTTGGAGTTTTGGCCAGTTGAGTTGGATGACAGTGGATCTTACCTTTTCCAAATGGGGTAAATGTACTTTTTCTTTTTGTTAGTATATTTCAAATCATGTATACAGTGATCTGAAAGGTGAGAGAACCTATAAATTTTATCTCCTTTACTCTTCCTACAACATGAAATAAATGCTTCAGTATTGAAAAATTATATTAAATGTTGCCCCTATGTTTATGTTGTTAGTGAGCTTAATGAAATGAAAATAATGAAAGGAGATTACCTTAAAATGATTTCTTTTTAAGAGATTCTTGCCGAAGATAAGTGAAGATTGAATGAAATTCATGTTAAAATTCAGCTGTTCCTGTTATCTAGAGCTGCTGGTGAAACAAATGGTGTTGTGAACATGTAATGAAATGGGGGTCATGTTAACTTCCTGGGTGGTGTCCTCAGGCTGGGCAGTGGGGTTGGAACTGGTGTAGACACATCCTAGTCTAGCTATCAAGTGTTTGTTGAGAGCGAGGTGGCAGTGCTAGTGAAGGATTTGTGTGTGTGGGAGCCAATAACAAAGCTATAACCAGAGCCAGTGAAGGAGGGAAACACAGATTCTTTGCGCAGTCTTCTCATGACAACCTGAGACTGCCAGGATGCTCAGAATCAGAGTCATAGTTCTGTGAAATGAGAACAACCAGCTAAATGTGTCAATGATTATTACTGAACTTGGTTCTTTTTATACTTTATCTAATGAGATGACAAAAGAGTAACTGGGAGAAGGAATTTTCTATGTGATAGACTGTAAGAACATAGATGACAGGGCTTATCTGGTACTTTTGTGATGTTATATATACTTATGTATCTATGTATGTGTGTATTTTATAGAGACTTGAGACCAACCTGTAGAAAACAGCTCAGGACAAGGAGAGTGGTTATGATGCTAAATTCAGTAGATTTTTTTCATGAGCACCTCTGAAGTGAGTTCTGATCATTATCAACAGTACTGTTGAAAGTAGAGTGAGATATCACAGTGAAACCTTAATATCACTCCTGTGGTTTTACTGAATGAGGTCATTTTGGTTTGTTTTTATGTATAGGAACCCTCAGGGGTCAGAAAGAAAATCAAGAACTCTTTTTTTTTTTAAACCAATGTATTTAAATGAACTTTTAGGAGAAATGATTCCAGAAATGGGGCAAAACCAAGTCTTTTCACAGTAAAGTTGAGTGAATATTTGTTTTGGGGTACAGAAAAAGAACTTCATCCTAATCTTGATTGAATAAAGGCATGACTTAAATGACCAAAGTATTCTGAACAGAGCAGAAAAAGCAAACTGAGGGGAAGAGCTGGTCATCTACCAATGTTTCTTGCAGACAGACAGGGGTAAAGGGCATCAACTGTTTCTAGTATAGGAGGTAAAGAATGCAGCCTGCACTAGGAAAAAAGTGGAATCATAAGATAGAAGTTGGTTATCACAGATGTGTGCAGGGATAAGGAAGTGGCTGGGAGAGGAGAGGAAAACCAAGGTGGCTCACAGTGGCTAAGGTGATAAACTCCGAAGGGTATTGGAGGTTGATAAATAAGGTGAGACAAAAGGGATGATGGAAAGAGCAGCCCTGACAGTGGTTTTGGGGGAAAAAAGGCAGTCTGCATGGGAGCAGGTTGTTTTGGACACCTGGGAATCTTGAAGGTAGAGACTTTTTAAAATAGAGTGCAACTGGTGAAGAGTATCCTGAGTGTGTATGTGTGCATGTGTGCCAATTTAGGTGAGGTATGCTTTGTGGTTTCATGTGGGATTCATCAATGACCAGACTGTACTCCTGTAATTGTCTCCTTAGAATCTAGTGCTTTAATTTTTCAGGATTCTATTGCAAATGATCAAATACCTCTGAAGACTAACATGCCAATCCTGCAGGGAAAATCACTTTGTCAGATCAAATTTTAAGGAGGAAATCCACTAAGAAGGAAGTGGATGCAGGAGAGTTTTTGATGAAGAGGTAAAGAAGTAAAAGTGAAGAAAAAAGCACCTGTGAAGTCTTACCAGGTCCTAGGCTGACAAGCAGCAACATTGGCTCAGTAAGGGGCCTCAAAAGAGTGGGCTAGAGTTTCTTAAATCCCTTCTATTTGTTGTCAGGTGTGATTCTTGCAACTAGGATGACTGGTCCTGACAGGGGTGTGGATGGTGACAACTTTGGATCCGTTTGCCTCAGCTTCACACAAGCCTTTGAGATCTTCCTAGCGCACTGCATGCTGCCTTTTTCAGGATTCTGGGGCAGTGTCTTGGATGTGGAGACATTCCTCCTGTTAGAATTTGTTGAGTGTTAGGACTCAGGACAGCAGAAGTAGAAAGAAATGTGGCCTGATAATATTGGAATATGCATGCACCTCCTTCTTTATAAACAACTTGATAGAGAGACTAGAAATGTATCTTTTTCCAGTACAGTGAGGCCCAAGTCAGAGAAATGTTACAGTGTTTAATATCTTTAAACCTTTATTTCATAGAAATGATACTCATGAATGGAGATTAAATGTCATCAGAAGAAGTAAACACAGATGTTTTGCTGAAAAACAAGTAATTAGTATAACTGTGGAAGTTAAAAAAGCTTTGCAAATACCCTGTGATGAACGTAGTTACTATAAAAAGCTAGTTAACAGAACGTCATTATATAAGGTAATGCTTTTAAAATATTTTAACTTAAGACTTGGTAGAAAAGACAAAATTTCAAGAGGGTCTGGTGGCTATGGAACTTTTTTGTTCTCATATCATATAAGCTGTGTGACCTCACACAGTGGCCCTCTCTGAGTTAGGTGCCCTCTAGAGTTGCTGTAATGAGTCCCTACACACAAGGAATGGAACACAATTCTTGCCTGATATTAATATTTCATAAATGATAATGGCTTCCTCTCTCTTGTCCTTCCTTCATTTTTCTTCTTTTTTAATAAATCATTTTTAGGAATACTAAAGATTTTCATTTTCTTCTGCCACATATATTTAAAATTTTTAATTCTATTATATACATATTTTCTGATTACATTGCTTTATAAAATTGGAAGATAGAAAAATGATTAATGAAAATAGAAATCACTTATAATCTCACCAGCCAGAGACTGTGTTCTTTTTCTTCTTCATAAACAGCTACTTTTAAAAAGTGGTATTATTTAATGGCTTATATTTTTCCTTTCTTCACTAAAAATTATATTGTGATCATTCCTTCACACATTTAAACATTCTTTCAACCATAGGATTCCATTGTGTATATATTATATCTGACTAATCCCCTGTTATTAAACATTTGTTAGTTTCTACTTTTGACTATTATTTGTAAGGCTAAAATAAATATTATTCCTATAACCCTTAGTGGGTATATATGATTTTATCCTCTAACCAAATCCCTAAAAGTAGAATTATTGGATCAAAGGCTATGAGCATGCTTATGGCTTTTGATGCACATTATCAAACTCCTCTCCAGGGAACGAGGCCAGTTTAAAATCCTCTTTCCTTATGCAGCCACCAAACTGAAAGAAATACTCTAGATCATGCAAAACTTCTGTAAACCTTAATGTGTTTTCCCTATATTTCTTTTCTTAATAATAAATTAATTTTTGTATATTTGTTGCATCATAGTTTTACTTTTTTTGTGGATTGTCTACTTTCTTTGCCTATTTTCTTCAGTTGATGTACCTTCTACTTGTTGAGTTGTAAGAGCGCTTTTAGACAATACTATAGAGATTGTATATACAGATACAATATATACACATTGACGTGTATATTACATAAACACATACATTTATACACTCAAATGTATATTATATATACATATGCATTTATACACTCGCATGTATATTATATATACACTCACATGTATATTACATATACATATGCATATACTCACATGTATACTATATATGCACATGCATTTATATACTCACATGTATATCACATATACACATGCATTTGTACACATATGTATATTACATGCACATATATACTCACGTGTGTGTTGTATATACACATGCATTTATATACTTAAATGTATACAAATATAATATACACAAACATATAAATAATATGCATGCACACACACAACACAAATTACATTCGTTCTATAAAAGAACAAACCTAAAAAATATGACTTAGTCATGGAAACTTTGAAGAGCTATGAGAGAGGGTGGTCTGAATAGAAGACCTTGGAAAAGTTGAAACTGTTCCTTTTGCTTGAACACTGTTTACATGTGATTTTTCAAGGACAGATCTTATGCAAAATGTTTTCTAAATGACTGAATAAGCACCTGTTGACTTAACTCCATATCCTGTCAAAGGTGCAAATGTTTAACAGTACATGTAAATTTGAGGTCATTGTACTGGATTTTAACTAATACCAACATGCAGATATTTTAAGTTAGAGAATAAATGCATAGAGGATGTTTTTAGCTAGAGAGTTGACCTCAAGGTTAAGTATTTATAGTCTGTTTACAGATCATGACCTACATGAGGGGAGGGGAGCAAGGAAGCTAAATCAGTAAGTGATTGATTGGAAAAAAGAGAAGAGTCTTTAATATTTTAACAGCTTGGAAAAAATCAGTTTGGGTTTATAAAAATTTGGGGTATACAGAAACAATTTACTGATGTGAGGTACACATGTGGGTGCTTCACAAGCCACTTCTAAACACCCTCCGGACCTGGCTCCAGTTGCCACCAGCTGCGGCCGCTTTGAGAGGATATTCTGTGGGCAGTAGGCTCTTCTCATTCAGTAATTGCAGGAACAATGGCACCTAGTCAGGATTAGTAGTTTAGTTCCCATTTTCCCCATCTGGTTCTTAGATTGTTTCATAACCTATCTGTGGGTGGACTGATGGTTGGATCGAAGGAAGTGGCTTTCTGTTTTTATCAATCCCTGTGACATAGGTGGACATTTGTGAGAGAGATATTTATGTGTCTATAGATTTGAGTATTCTTGATACATTTCTAATCAATCCACTGTCTTTTGATGGAACACATCAAATGTGTGGGTATTCTGCTAAGTACTCAGTTCTGTGAATAACTCTGCTCCCATACCCACTACCCACCCCCAGGACAGCATTAGACTGAAAGTGTTATGAAATAGAATTGTGTAGAAAATTTTGATGCAAGGAGGAATTTTTTTTGTAGTATGTTTTTCTCTTTCTCTCTCTCTTTCTCCTTCTTTCACTCTTTCCCTTCATCTCTCTGTCTCCCTCTCCCCTTTCTTTTCTCTCTCCTTTCCTCTTTCTCTCCCTTTTCTCCTCCTTCGCTCCCTGTAAAAGAGAGTTTAAAAGGAAATGATGAAAGCAGCTATAGCATCTCCTATACTTCACTTCCCACCATGTAATATTAATAATGATAGACATAATAACAGTAATGGGACTGTATTTTGTTGTTCCAGTAAAGGCAGTGCCAAATCACTGTTATTTCACTCAGAAATTGCTAGTTCTCATTTAGTTTCCCATATTCTCTAAAGATCTTTTACTTTAAAATTTGAATTATTATAATATGATACTGCCTTTACTTAAAATATTTTAACTTGCTTTTTAAAAAACAGAACTGTGAAAAGATAGAGAAGAATAAAAACCCATCTTTTCGGAAGAATGCAGAGCTCAATGATCAAGGATATTACACCTGCATGTTTTTCCTTTATCATAATGGAAAATTATTTAATGTCACCAGCACCTTCAATATAACAATAGTTGGAGGTAAGAGAAATTTTAGAATTGGGAGGGAACAAGTGTATCTTAGTAAAATAGAATATTTTCTTTCTTCTAAAGTAGTACAGGAAGCCAGAGACAACTTAGTTGGAGTTGGGACCATGTTACTAGTTCAAATATAAGGGTCAAAACCATTTTGGTGTTATTCATTATGCTTAAAGATTTTGGGGAGGCAGTAATTAAAAGTTCATAACAGTAAACGCGCATGAATCAGCTCTCTTATTTGGTGTTTGAATAAACTGTGAGGACTTTTGTTATTAAACATATGCTTTCATTCAACAAATATTTATTGAAGATGTCTATATATAATAAACTACTAAGCATTGGGAAAGGAAGTAGGGAAATATGAAATGAAGTGAGTAATATACTCTTCTCAAGGAATTTGATTATAGTTAGGATAGGTGATAAGCTACATAGAGCTACCATAGTACAGTTGACCCTTGAACCACACAGGGTTTAGGGATGCCAATCCCTTCCCCCCACTCTCATATGGTCAAAAATCTGGGTATAGTTTTTGGTTTTCCCCAAACTTAATAGCTATTAATAGCTAGCTCTTTATGAGAAGCCTTACTCATAACACATATTTTGTATGTTATATACATTGTTCTCTATTCTTACAGTGAAGTATGGTAGAGAAGAATGTTATTTAAAAAGTCATAAAGAAGAAGAAATACATTTACAGCAGTTATTGAAAAAAATCTGCATATAAGTGGGCCCGTACACTTCAAACCTGTGTTTATGAACCTGGAGTCATCTGTGAGGGAGGCCAAAGTGAGAACAGATGTAGGAGGCTCTGTTTGAGCTGAGTCTTAGAGACTGACCAGGGTGGATGGCAGGAGGACATGCTGGGAGAGGGCGCTCTGAAAAGAGAATGTAACAGGCACAGGTGTGGTAGTGGAAAGGGCCTGTCCATTTTGGGATGACAGCTCTTAATCTGGTTTATCATGAACCCAGACTATACATAATGAAAAAACTGAAGCCTGGATTTTAGAGGTAATTTAGTTAAACCTCACCCAATGAAGGTTTCCTTCATATGGCAGTACTTGATCATGCAGTCACTTTTTGTGAACTACCATGGAAATTACCAAATCACTGAGGTGCAGATTTTAATATTTGATTGTTAGGAGTCATTTTTCCCCTTGAGTCCACTATGCCTTCATGAAGCTTCTCTTTAGTAACTCCACAGATTGTCTGGTCTCCTCTTAAAATGACATCTCCTTCAAGTGTTTGAAGATAGGTGGCTTATTTATTCTAAACAATCTTTCCCACCATCTTGTAAAACTGCTGTGATGGCTCATTCAACAAAATAGCGGGCTCACAGTTACTAGAGCTACTTTGCTTTGGCATCATTTTTCCTCTTCATTTTATCCATCTACTTACATAGCTATACTCCATATATTTCTAATGGATAAATTACCAAAAACTTACTGTCTTTAAACAACACAAATTTATTATCTAATGGTTCTGAGGGTCAGAAATCTGAAAATGAGTTCACTGGGTTAAAACTGAGGTTTCAGCAGGATTGCATTCCTTCTGGAGATTTTAGAGTAAAGCAGGATTCCTTGCCTTTTCCAGCTTCTAGAGACTATCTGCATTCCTTAGCTTCTACCACTTTTCCATCTTCAAAGCCAACAGTGTAGCATCTTCAGATTTCTCTCTTACCTTTGCTTCCAACAATCACGTTTCCTTTTCTGACACTGACCCCCATCTTTTTCTCTCTTATGAGGACTGGTGTAATTACATTGGGCGCACCTGGATAATCCAGGATACATCCCTCATTCAAAAATCCTTAATTTAGTCATATTGCAAAGTCACTTTTGCCATGTGAGGTATAATATTCACAAGATCTGGGGATTAGCATGTGAACAAATTTTTTGGGGGGGCAGTGCATTATTCTGCCTGCCACAGCCCATAATTTGGAGATCCCATAACTAAATTCTGAAACTCAAATATCTTGATTTTTTAGGGTTTTTTAAAAAATTATTTTTTATTTTTTTATTGTTCAAATACATTTGTCTCCATTTTCCTGCCACCACTTTCCCATTCCCCACCTACCCCCAACTCACACCCTCAATCCTTCCCCACTTTGGCTTTGTCCATGGGTCCTTTATACATGTTCCTTGATTTGACCCTTCCTCTGCTTTTCCCCATTATCCTCCTCCCTCCTTCCGTCTCGTTATTATCAGTTTGTTTTTTCTTTCAGTGTTGCTGTTTATATTTTCCTTGCTTGTTTGTTTTGTTCATTAGGTTCTACTTATAGGTGAGATCATATGGTATTTGTCTAAGCAAATAAACCTCCTGGCTTATTTCGCTTAACATAATACTCTCCAGTTCTATCCATGCTGTCATGAAGGGCAGTAGTTCTTTCTTTCTTTCTGCTGTGTAGTATTCCATTGTGTAAATGTACCCTAGATTTTTGATCCACTCATTTACTGGGCACATAGTAATGGGCACATAGGTTGCTTTCAGCACTTGGATATTGTAAATACCTATATATATTTCCTGAATTCTTCAGTTTTATTTTCAAATATACACATACACACACACACACATATTAATCTGATGTAAAACTCTGGTCTCTTGACACTTGTACTGCCAACACCCTCATCCTATCCATCTTTGCTTTTCGTCTATCAGCCCCTTTCTTATTTCTCCCTGGAAGGAATAAAATATTCTTTATCAAAGAGCACTTGCTATAGTCCAGAAACTGTACCAAATACTTTAATTGAATCATCTCATATAATCCTCATAACAATCCTGTGATCTTGTGAGTTTGGTTGAATTAAATGATTATCTGTGCCTAAGATATCTTGTAGTAAAACGGAACAGTGCAGGTTCCTCCCTCCTCAGGCTGAGGACTGAGTGAGTGAATGTGTACATAGAATTGAGAGTGGTGCCAGAGACAGGGAGAGCTCGACTGTTATTGCAGTGTCCTGTTGCCTCATTTCCCCACCCCCCACTGTACATGCTATTTTTCTGCCTTAACTACCCATCTTACTTATTTTGTCTTCTTGGAGGATACCAACTGTGTCTTTCAGAATGCAGCTCGAATGTGTCTCCTTCTCTGTGTTCCCATAGCTTTTGTACATGTTTCTAATTGCTGTCAGAATTTGGGCCATGTGTCTGTCTCTGTCAGTAGACTGCAAAGCTTTCGGAAAGAAAGTATTGAACTGAGCTCTCTTTCTCATTTTGCAACTCTCATACTTATGCCTAGCACTTAATATGTAGTAAGTGCTCATTACATGTCTGTTGAGTGAATTTCTCAGTCAGCAACACTTCCTTCCATTGTGCCTCATTCAACAAGAAGTCTAGACTCTTAATCACCCTGGCCATTTCCCTTTGGATTTGTTGAAGTTTCCATAATTATCCTAAAATGTAGACCTTGGAGCTGAAGTTGATAGTCAAGAGGTGTCACAGCATATGCTGAGGACAGTGGGACTCTGAGCTCCCACCTACTCTATGCTGTGTCTTTATTAAAGTTGACCTATGGCAATGGATGTGGATCTCTCAGCTATCACATGGTGAGCACAATTACCTCGAATCAGAGTTCTCTTGTCTCTCTCCTGGTATCTTCATTTCTTCATTTCCTTCTCTGGCTGATTTGGTGGTGTCTCCTCCTACTGCTGACAGTCTCTCTGCTATAACTTAGGGGCATACACTGAGGTTGTTTTCTTCCTTCTGTTACCTTAAATAGGATTGTACCCTTCCCTTTACACCAGTCTTATAAACCTGGTGCTACTCTTGGTTCTCAATGATACATTTCAAGTTTTAGAGATTGATCCAGAGTAAGATAATCAGCAGCAATTTCCCCTATTACACAAAACTATTTTGTCCTTCGATTAGCTCCTATTCCTCAGTGCTCTCAGACCTGAGAGTCAGTTCTTTGGAACCATTTTAGCTCTTCCTGCCTGCGTACCTGAATTTCAAACTTGCCCAGTGAGTCTGAATCTCAGAGGAACCAGGACATGATGGGATTCCACTGCCCTAGTTTCATTCTCCTGCTCTTGTCCACAAAGTGCTCCACTCCCTTTTCCACTCTTCACTCAGTAGCCCTGAACCTTCTGAGACAGTTAGCTGTGGGTGCTGCATGAGCACCCCGAGTCATGTTTTACTTCCTCACAATCAGGCAGTCTGCTTGCTTAGCACATGCAAGCCCCATGAATGCTGCTCTGGACGTTAGTTGTAAATGCCCTCCAAACACCAGATGTACTAGCAGGGGAAGTCCAGGTCATGGAAAAAGTTTCTAGTGCTGGTAATAGGAGTAACACTAACTTGAATATGTAGCAGTGTCAATATATGACCACAGTAGCTCTCAGTGTTGTGCAATGATTGGCCACCTTAGCTTGTTTTATAGCATTCAGTGGTGGGCTCTGGGGGATTATTTACCTGCTAAGAATTATGAGATGGGAGCAAAGGTTCAAAATATTTATGTACCTCTAGTTGGGGGTCAAGTCACTGAGGAAGGGAAAAAAGAGCTGAGTCTGAAGTTGTGTGCACTCTAACAGGGCTGGGACTAAAGGGAGGCATCCAGGGCACACAACTGAATGGCTCTCCTTTCGGTGCCCTGTGATGGGATGGTTGGCACCTGAGAGTCAGTGCCTAGCCTACACTACCTGAGTTTTGATCTTGCACCCAATAGTTGAGGAGGGCATATGGAGGGAATAAGGCATAACAAAAAGGCACTTCCCAGTGACTTTGCATCTTGTAAGTCCTGCAAGTTTGGTTGTTTCCATGGATGAGCGTCTTCCTCTGGCTTTTAGCTGTGGTGAGCAGAAGCCAGAGGTTGAAATTGAGAGAAAATTAAATATAATGAACTTTTTCTAACAGTGTAAACTTTGGAGTTGATGGAAAGTGAAACAACAAACAACATTCACTGCATCCATTATGTAGTGCAAATATGACTAAAATGAATATAAAGTGATGACTGTTAGAATCTTCATTTCATGGAATAAACATATCATAACAAATACTTATCTTAGCAAAGCTCAGTTAACACTAACACACTTTTCTTTTTTTCACTTTTAGATCATAGTAATATAATTCCAGTTCTTCTTGGACCAAAGCTTAATCATGTTGAAGTGGAATTAGGTATATTTTGACATACATATATTCTTCAATTATGAATGGGGAGAAATGGGACCTCCTAAGGTTAATTCATTGTTGACCAGTGTCGTATGCATAACACCTTCCATATTTAGTGAAGAACATTACAAAGCAGAAAAGCCTGTCATTGTTCAAATGTTGCCATTTTTAGATGGATTAAAATGAACAATCTGGAACTGCCTGTGGTTTGTAGATTAGAGTTTTAGTCACCCTGTTTGTGGCTTTTCTCTAATAGTCTCTATAGTAGTTTTTTAAAATGAAAACTCAGTAAGAATACTCTGGAGAAGTTATTCAGACTTGAATATGGTTTGAATATTTGATTAATGAATTTACTTTGAATCAATGGACTAAATTGACTATCAATCAGGAATTGTATAGAGAGATCTTGATGAATCAGCATTTCCTTTCAAAAAGGAAGGATGGAAAAGAAATTTGCCAGAGGGGAGGGGGAAGGGGGATAATGAGGGAAAGAAGGGGAACATGTACGAAGAACCCGTGGAGAGGGACAATGGGATGGGGATTGTTTTTGGCTGCGGGAGTTAGACAGGGAGGTGGAGAGCAATGGGGGGAATAATGGGGACAATTTTAATTGAACAACAATAAAAAATTTCTTTTTAAATTCACATATGCCAAACCAAGTTTTGTGTTAGGTGATTGAAATATATTATTGAATTAAATCATCCAGCAACTCTGAGGGTTATTATCTCCATGTTATGAATTAAATGACTGAAACATAGAAATGTTAAGTAATTTTCTAAGATTAAATCTCTAGACAGTGGCAGAGGTGGGATTCAAGTGTCTGTTGATTTTTTCCAAAGCCCACACCTTTTGACCACAGCTGGTCCTAGCTGTTTATGACAGATATGCTCAATGCAGCTTTGATACTTTACCATTTATATTTATGGGTTTCCTGCTTTCTGTTTTTATTGGTTTCTAAACTTGTCTATTAATTTTCTCATTTTGGGCTTAATTTGCATCTCATTTTTCACTTGTCATCATGGAGAGTTAAGGAATAAAATTCAGTTATCTTCTCTTGCAGTATGTGCATTTTATCTCCAAATTTTCTTATCATTCCTGTAGCTGTTTGTTTCCCATTAAGTATTGGTATAACAAATTTTCGTTACTGTTTATTCAAAACATTTTAAAAATTTTCTCTTATGATTTCCTCTTTCATATATGGATTATTTGTGTTTCTTACTGTCCAAATAGTTGGAGGGTTTTTTAAGTTATTTTCTGTAATTGATATCCAGTTTAGTTCCATTATGGTCCAAGATTATACACTGTGTCATTTCAATCTTTTGGAATTTGTAGTAACTTGCTTAAGCACCAGAATATAGTGTATTTGATGAATGCTCCAAGTACATTAGAAAGAAATGTGCATTCTGCAAGTTTTGGTTTTATTATTCTATAAATATCGATTAAGTGAATTTCATAAAAAATATTGGTTAAATCATCTATAGCCTTAATAATCTTTTGTTTGCTTTCTTTATCTTTTATTGAGAGAGATGTTAATACCTCAAACTATGATGGTTGATTTGTCTGTATATCCTTTATTTCTGTCAATTTTTGCTTTATATATGTTGAAGTTATCTTATGGGCTACATGAATTGATGACTGTTGAACTGACACTTTATTATTATGAAATTCCTCTCTTTATCTATCGTTATATTTCTTCCTTGCCTATTCTGTCTGATATTAGATAGACTCACTGGGGTTTTCTTTTGTTTAGGATTGATTGACATGTTTTATTTTTATATATCCTTTTACTTTTAACATTATCTTTATACATAAAATATGTCTGGCATAAAACTGCACCTATTTGGATCTTTTTATTTATTTATTTTACATGTTTAAATTTTTAAAAAATTATATATCATTGATTGTGTTATTATGGTTGTCCCAGGTTTTCTCCCTTCGCCCCCCTCCACCCAGCACCCCCAACTCCCTCAGGCTATTTTCCTACCATTTTTCATGTTCATGGGTCATGCGTTTAAGTTCTTTGGCTACTCCATTTCCTATACTGTAATTTACATTCTCATGACTATTCTGTAACTATCTATTTGTACATATTTTAATTAATTAATTTATTGTTTCAAATACATTTGTCTCTGTCTTCCTCCCACCACATTCCCTTGCCCCCTCCCCCTTCTCCCTCCCTCAATCTTTCCCCTTTGGTTTTGTCCATGAGTCCTTGCTACATGTTACTTGACTTTCCCCTTTCCATCCTTTTCCCCCGACTACACCTCCTTCCTTCCCTCTTGTCTCTGTTGGTTTCTTTTCCTTCCAGTGTCTTATTTTCCTTGCATCTTTGTATTGTTGGTTAGGTTCTGCTTATAGGTGAGATCATATGGTATTTGTCTTTTGCCCCCTGGCTTATTTCACTTAGCATAATGCTCTCCAGTTCCATCCATGCTGTCGCGAAGTTTAGTAGTCCTTTTTTTCTTTCTGTTGTGTAGTATTCCATTGTGTAAATGTACCATAAATTTATGATCCACTCATTTACTGATGGACACTTAGGTTGCTTCCAGCACTTGGCTATTGTAAATTGTGCTGCTATGAACATTGGGGTGCATAGGTTCTTTTGTATTGGCTTTTTGGTGTTCTTAGGGTATAGTCCCAGCAGGGGAAGCACTGGATCAAAAGGTAGTTCCATTTTCAGCTTTTTGAGGAAATTCCACACTGCTTTGCACAATGGCTGCACCAGTCTGCATTCCCACCAACAGTGTACTAGTGTTCCCTTTGCTCCACAGCCTCTCCAGCACCTGTTTGTTGTTGATCTGTTTATGATGGCCATTCTGACCGGTGTGAGGTGGTATCTCACTGTGGTTTTGATCTGCATTTCTCTGATTGCCAGTGATGCTGAGCATCCTTTCAAATGTCTCTGTGCCCTCTGTACCTCTTCCTTGGAAAAGTATCTGCCCAGGTCCTTTGCCCATTTTTTGATTGGATCATTTGTCTTCTTAAGTGGAGTCGAGTGAGTTCTTTATATATTTTGGAGATCAAACCTCTATCTGATGTATCATTAGCAAATATATTTTCCCATATGGTTGGCTCCCTTTTCATTTTGCTGATGTTTTCTTTAGCCTTGCAGAAGCTTCTCATTTTGATGAGGTTCCATTTGTTTATTCTTTCCTTTATATCCTTTGCTTTAGGAGACATATCAGTGAAAATATTGCTGCGTGGGATATCTGAGAGTTTCCTGCCAATGTTATCCTCTAGGAATTTGATGATGTTGTGACTTATATTTAAGTCTTTTATCCATCTTGAGTTTATTTTTGTGTATGGTGTCAGCTGATGATCCAATTTCATATTTTTGCATGTAGCCATCCAGCTCTCCCAACACCATTTGTTGAAGAAGCTATTATGGCTCCATTTTATGCTTCTGCCCACTTTGTCAAATATTAGATGCTCATAGAGACCTGGGCTTATTTCTGGACTTTCTATTCTGTTCCACTGGTGTATGGTCTGTTTTTGTGCCAGTACCAGATTATTTTGAGTATAGTGGCTTTGTAGTAGAGTTTGATGTCCGGTATTGTGATCCCTCCTACTTTGTTTTTCTTTCTCAAAATTGCTGCGGCTATTCGGGGTCGTTTGTGGTTCCATATAAATTTTTGAAATGTCTGTTCTATTTCTGTGAAATACATCATTGGTATCAAAATAGGGATTGCGTTGAATCTATAAATTGCTTTGGGTAGTATGGACATTTTGATGATATTAATTCCTCCAATCCAAGAGATCGGTATATGCTTCCATTTATTTGTGTCTTCCTTAATTTCTTTCTTCAATGTGTATAATTTTCTGCATATAGGTCTTTTACCTCCTTGGTTAAATTTACTTATAGGTACTTTATTTTTCTTGTTGCTATATCAAATGATATTTTATTTCTGATTTCTTCTCCTTCTCTTTCATTGCTGGTGTACAAAAATGCCTTTGATTTCTGAATATTGACTTTGTATCCCGCTGTTTTGCCAAATTCACTTATTAGGTTGAATAGTTTTTTGGTATAATCTACAGGATATTCTATGTACACTATCATGTCATCGGCAAACAATGATAGTTTTACTTCCTCCTTTCCTATTTGGATGCCTTCTATTTCTTTTTCTTGTCTGACTGCTGTGGCTAGGACTTCCAATATGATGTTGAAAAGAAGTGGTGAAAGCAGACATCCTTGTGTTCCCGATCTTAGTGGGAAAGATTTTAGTTTTTGCCCGTTGAGTATGATATTGGCTGTACGTTTTTCATATATGGCCTTTATTACGTTGAGGAATGCCCCATTTATTCCCATTTTGCTGAGTGTTTTGATCATAAATGGGTGCTATACCTTATTGAATGCTTTTTCTGCGTCTATCGAGATGATCATGTGGTTTTTGTCTTTTCTTTTATTTAGGTGATGTATCACGTTTACTGATTTGCGTATATTGAACCATCCCTGCATGCTTGGGATGAATCCCACTTGATCGTGGTGGATAATCTTTTGAATGTATTGCTGGATGCGGTTTGCCCAGATTTTCTCGAGGATTTTAGCATCTATGTTCATCAGCAAAATTGGCCTGTAGTTTTCTTTCTTTGTAGGGTCTTTATCTGGTTTTGGGATCAGGGTGATGCTGGCCTCATAGAAAGAGTCTGGGAGTCTTCCCTCCTCTTGGATTTTTTGGAATAGTCTGAGAAGGACAGGGGTTAGCTCTTCCTTAAATGTTTTGTAAAATTTTCCTGTGAAACCATCCGGCCCTGGGCTTTTGTGTGCCGGGAGTTTCTTGATTACTGCTTCAATTTCCCCAGCTGTTATCGGTCTGTCCAAGCTTTCTGTTTCTTCCTCCTTCAGTGTTGGAAGATTATACTTTTCTAAAAATGTGTCCATTTCATCAAGGTTTTCAAATTTCTTGGCATATAATTGTTCTTAGTAATTTCTTACAATCCTTTGTATTTCTGTGGTATCAGTTGTTATTTCTCCTCTTTTGTTTTCAATATTATTTATTTGGGTCCTC